GTTTTTTTTCATTTTGTTATAAGTTCCTTAAAAAGTTTTTTTATTTATAATAAACATTGTAACATGAGTCTCTTGTCTGGTAGTTTTAAAACTTATACCCACCTGGGCCTTCAGGGCCTCAATCCGCCCCTGTTATTACCTATTAAATAGTTACTGATTTTTACAACTATAAGTTAATTTTTTCCTAATCAACTTGTAACTTTTACAACGTGCAGTACTGCTGTTTTACATGTTATGTAGTTTTCATTTAAATTTACTTTGAAATGTAAAATTTTAGTATAAGCGGGTTACGCTTTGATTTACCTAAATTAAACGTCTAGAGAATCAGTGTGTTAAATTTATATTCAATAATATTGTATAAGAAAAACGATTTTAAAATCAAAAAATGTTTATCAGACTAATACTACTAAATACGTGTTATATTATTAATAAATTATTGTGATTAAAGGAATATTTTATTACTAGGCATAAGTACTACAGTAGGTTAAATTAATTTTTGCCAAAAAAATTGTATTCGGTAATGCCATCGTTTTTCTTATACAATATTATTAATAAATTATTGTGATTAAAGGAATATTTTATTACTAGGCATAAGTACTACAGTAGGTTAAATTAATTTTTGCCAAAAAAATTGTATTCGGTAATGCCATCGTTTGTTTAACGTACACAATATGAACTCATAAAGTCTCAAGTACACAAATCATATTTTTAAATCACAAAAAAATACAGTTTAACAGTTAATATTGGTTTTAATATATAATTTTGTTCAACTTTGAACTGAAAATATTTATACAAAATAACTATTAATGTATCATTTAGATTTTTGGTTACACCGTAAACATTTTATGAGAACCCTAGTTTTAAATACTCAATATTTTAAGAAATTTGTATTATTTTATATTAATTTTATATATTGATAATTTTGTTAAAATTTGAATTTTAAATGTTGATTAGTAATCAATAAAAATGATTTTTTTTAAAACTGTTATCATAACTACTTCTGAGGAACCTTGTATTGAATTTTCAAGCATTTCGACTCAAAGAAAAAAATTGTATTGATATTTATAGAAAAAAAAATAAAAAATTTCAAACGTTAGTAAATAACTGATATCATCTTAAAAACTTAATTATGTATAGATAACGAAAAATTTGATTCTGGCATCAATCATGACACTGCATTTCCTTCTCAATTTAATGCTAAAATTAATTACACAATGTGTATAATGTCGTATAATAGACTATAATTGTTATTGCTTAAATATTTGATTTTTTGGTTATTGTCGTGTAGAATTTGGTGATATAAGGTTCTTACTCTGATGAAGCACGCAACTTTAACTGCGGTTGTCAAAATCTCTTTGAAGAAAGCAATGGTTGATTATTATGTCTGGAATTTCTTTAATTATCACAGCTGTAAAACCAGATGATTTACCAATAACATCACTGGAGCCTGATGCACCATTACAGTGAACCAAGTTTTGCTTTATAATGAAAGTTGTGTTCGAAAAACAAATTTGTGATAATCTCAAATACATCTACTGCCTTTGTACTTTTCAAAAGTGATTTACAAAATACAAGTTTTCTTTATTATTGCCAGACAAATATAGTATAACGCACACAAACTAATAATTTACTACATTGAGAAGAGTTAATATTTCATATTACATAGAAAATATGATGCTGCAATTATATCCAAAATTACTTTTCTTAAATGGCGACATTGACGAATCAGAAGTTATGGAGTGAATTGATATAATTTGTCTAAATTAGAGAAGCTTCAATTTCACTACTCAACACCGTAAACCAATTTTATATCATACCCGATGAGCATAGTTTCATCACATGTGTCCAGTTAAACTTTTTTGAAGTTTTTTATCTTCATTTATACATCGTACATTTATACGTAATCTTAATTTAATATTATATTATAGTATAAGCTATATGAATTGTATAGTGTGAATTAGTGACCGAATTGTAGCGTTGTAATTTTTATTTTTTGATTGACGGGATACAGGTGAAAAATTATTATTGTTATTGTATTAGGTATTGTATTTTATAAATTTAATTTTGTGTAAATTGGAAGAAAAAATCAAATTTACTCCGTAAACCCCTAGATTCTAAGTAACATTCTATACAGACTCCTTAAGGATTCATGAACCACCGGTAGTCGGTAGATTATGGTAATAGAAGTATAGTACACAATCGTAGTTTTATAAAATTAATATTCTGTTCAGATAAAACATTTATTTTAACAATTTATTTTAGTTATAGTAACCTATAGTTGGAAAGTTAAGTTTTAAATTAATTATTTAATCACATATACATGTAACAGAAAGACGTGGCCAAAAAGCAAAAAATTTTATGCTAATTTATCGTATGACAAAAATTGTTGTTAGTATTATATATGATAAGTAAATAATTCAAGAAATATACTCATGTCAGTAAATTCCCAAAAATCATATTTATCAAAAAACATAAAAAATGTATTATACGTGTTGTTCTGGATTCATTTAATGAACAAAAATAAATAAATAAAAAATATTAATTTGAACAAAAGTTATTCCAAAAGTCAGTTTTATCTGTTACACCTTGTAATTGCACTTAAAATTTGTATGAATACCTATGTTAAGATATTAATAATTGTTTAAAAAATAAAATTTATCACCGAGTTTGTAAAATATATGAATAATAGCAATATGCTTAAAATAATAATAATATTACTATAACTACAGACTCTAAAGACTAAAACCATTTTTAATGTTAATCGTTCGATAAGTATCTTGTTGAAAATATATTTGCTTTTTTAGAATACAATTTAAATAAGAAAGTGGCTGTCCCTCAACGCCCCACGAGTTTTCTTCAAAAAAATACAGCCCCTACTAAATTTAAAACTAAATTTGCGCGATTATGGATTATGTGCCAAACACCTAATGGTTAGGTCTAAAAAACACCTTTGTTCCCAAACAATATTTATTTCCAGAAACGTATTTTCAAAGAAATAATTTTTGTCRGAAAAGATGATTATTTTCATTGTAGTTCTCAACAGAAATAAGCTAGGCTTATGCGTAAATCTTGTAACAAGCTTTTTTGGCGGAAAAAGGACTCCCGGTCGCTCGACAGTACTAAAATAAATACGGTGTATTAATTATCACATGGCGAATTTTTGATAACTTAATTGCAGGTCAAGGACCATCATTACATACAAAATCGAGACGACTGTAGGCCTTACATAATAGAGACCTTGAAGTTCATGTATGACCTACAGCTGACGTCGAACATGGCCGATTCTATAGCGCCAACGCTCGCGCGTCCCAGATACCCGTTCGAAGTACTATTCGCCATCGGCGGATGGAGTGGAGGCAGCCCGACTGCAATTATTGAAACGTACGACACTAAGTCTGACCGGTGGACGAGGATATTCCAAGAAGACACACACGGGCCGAGAGCGTACCATGGTACGATCGTCATGGGACCGTACATTTACATAATCGGGGGCTTCGACGGGTTGGAGTATTTCAACTCATGTAGGAAGTTCAACACGGTGACGAAAACGTGGGAGGAAGTAGCGCCGATGAACTGTAAGAGGTACGGTAACGTCATTATATATAATTGAGACTATAATATAATATTTGTCAGTCATAAGTCATTTATTGAGTACCTGCAGAAAACGAGTACGTCAGGGCCACGTTAAAATTTAACGCAAGGTAACGCAATATATCTTACAATAAAATACCGGATTTAATTTATATTGCAACTTTTTTTTGCAGTCAAGACGAACCAAATATGATCAAATTTTATAATCGTTGTATACTTTATGTATTATTAATACCCATTTATAATGCAAAAATGTAATTTTTACAATTTGTATGTGTGTAAATGAACAATAGTTTATAGGTAAAGATAAATTTTATACACTGAAAAGTGGTAGAACCAATAAAATTATGAAAAAAAAAAATATATATTGATTGTAATAAGTATGTTTTAATTTTGATGATATCTTATACATTTTATCTATTTAAATACATTTTCAATTAGGAATAATAAAATATATCAATTCTGTTAACTGGTAATTGACAACTGAAAAGTGTCTAAAGATCGTTAGCTATTAAATAAAATAATTAAATATTTACTATCTAGTTCCATAATCATCAAGGACCTCGCCAAAAATATTGCCCAGGGCTCCAAAATATTATGTAGTTCTGTCATTGGACGTAGCTAACTTCAAAAGAACAGAGCCGCTTAATTTTTGTATTACCTCGAATAAACCGAGTACCTATCTTTGTTTGTATAATTTATAATTATGTAACTGATATAAGTGTGTGATATTCTGGGGCCCACGGATCTTTAATTCCAGCAATTATACCACATAATATAAAGGTGAAAAAAGGACTTAACATATTTTTGATTTTTCATCTTCCGTTTCCGCTTATTTTTGTCAATATAAAAATATTTTTAAAACAGATTTATGACTATACAAAAAAAAAAAAAATGTTCACCAAGAAATCCTGTCTGATTTTATGAATGAAAATAATCTTATTGTTTGTTATAATTAACCGACGCAGATGTTATGTCAGCGTTGCATTGTTAAACGGCATTATTTACGCAATGGGTGGATACGACGGCCACCACCGACTAGGATCTGCAGAAAAATATGATTTCGAACGAAACCAGTGGACGATGATAGCACCGATGACAACTCAGAGGAGTGACGCCTGTGCAGCCGTGATGAATGGTAAGTATTTAGTCTCAAATACGAAAAATCAATCTTTATCACATGTTGTTGACAGCTGTATTTTTATACATATTTTATAACTAATATAATATTTAAGGGGACTGCAGTCAACCACATTTTAAAGAGAAGAAGGAAAACCAGTTGATTTCGGTGTATTTTTAATCAGTGAAATTCCATAAATAAGTCAATGAATATTGTGACCACTATCAACGAAACTATATAGGGGGAGGGGACTGACCTGGCAATATACTTTTTTAGCCCACTCGTCATGTAAATTAAAATTAAATTAAAATCATTCAAATTCCTGGCCAAAAAAAACTTTACCATGTGATCAATAATATATAAAATAATTGATAATTATGTTAATTATTAGCTGTGGACTGTTGTCGGAAACATCGTATTAATTGTAGCGACACTACAGTAGAACTTTACCTACTTTATTTTTAACAACGCTCAAATAAACATATGTGTATAAAATACCACTAGATATAATATATTGGTAATTTTAACTAATAGTTAATTGGTTAAATCAAAATCTGTTTTCAAAATTAAAATCCAYTTAATCATAATCAGTTTTGTCAGGCGACTAACCGTCACCTTTTAACTTTTTTTAGCTACTGCAGTTCTCTTGGTGTTAAGATCACAGTAAGTCGGACCTAACGTCTATATATATATTATACATGGTGCCTACTATTTAATAACAATAATAATAATAATAATGACAACGATACGTCATAATCGTCAAACATCTATATAACATAATCGCGCAGGCAAAATATACATTACCGGTGGGTTCAACGGACAGGAGTGTATGAACACTGCCGAGACTTATAACGTGGAAACCAACGAGTGGACGCTAATACCGGCCATGCAGACCAGACGCAGCGGCGTGTCTTGTATAACGTACCACAACTGTCTGTACGTGATCGGTGGTTTCAACGGGCTGGTGAGAATGAACAGCGGCGAGAAGTTCGACCCGACCACGAACCATTGGTCGCCGGTGGTGGACATGTGCAATCCCCGGAGCAATTTTGCAGTCGAGGTGCTCGACGACATGATATTTGTGGCTGGTGGTTTCAACGGGGTAACCACCATAGCGCAGGTGGAGTGTTACAACGACCGTACGGACGAATGGTGAGAACGAGATGGATGAGATGAATGAATGAGTTGAATTGATTGGGTGAACGGGAGAGATKGATGGATGTGATTGATAAATTAATAGACGAATATTATTATTTTTTCTATAAGAATAAAGGGTTGAAATTGGTTAAAAAACCAGAGACCTGCAAAACTATGAGAAAACAGTTCTCAAAACCAAAACCGTAGTTAATATTTGAAACAGTTTTGAGCCTTGCCATACAGTTTAAATACGAATAGGTAGGTAGTTGATACAGAAAAACTAATAACGATGGATTAAATTTTTAAAATATATGTATAGTATATACGAATATAATGAGTTAAGCGTAACACATCAAATGATTGTTATTAATATATGTATAACATTGTATAGCTAAGTGTGTATATCTGTACACAGATAAAGTAAACAGTGTAAACAATAAATATGTAATAAAGCAATAAAAGATATTATAGGGTTGATTTTTCAACATGTCATCGTCTTATTTTGTAAAATTCACATAAAATTAATTATTTATCATCCATGTTATAGGCTTTAATATTTACAATTGTAAAAATATGGAGTCAGCAATAAATTATTTTCATATACTTAGGTTATATGAATGGAAATACATTATTTCATAATATATATTATATTGCCTCAATATCTCGTGAACAGTATACAGACGTATACAGGCAAACTCACATAATATTATTTAACTTTAATTAATAATTATATATTATTATATAACGATCTACATTCTTGATGATGAAACAACTACTTCAGTAGATATTTACTACCTTAATCTAATACCTACTATATTGTATATATCATATAATAAAGATACTGTTATATATAATCTCTTACTCTCATTGAGTCATATATAAATTGATTATATTGCTGCTATTATAAGTGGTTAAAATGTTATCTTCTCTAATCCGAACTAACTAAGCCAGCGTTTCTCAAAGTGTGGGTCGCGACCCACTGGTGGGTCGTCAGTCAATTTTTGGTGGGTCGCGAACAATTTTTACGTGGGTAACAAATAATAATTCATGTTTTCAAATTATATAGATTCCAAGAAATTGGATGAATTGTGAGTAATAATGATTACTAATAATTCGTCATATATTTATTACGAAATACCTAATAAAAATGTATACATATTTATATAATACAAATTTTGTTTTTTATTACCAACTTTTTGAAAAGTCAAACAATGTGGGCCGCGAAAATTTTTTCGGGGGAAATTTGGGTCGCAGTACTAAACAGATTGAGAAGCACTGAACTAAGCTATCATAATTTTCTCTTTTCCCGAAAAATGTCCATGACCATTGTTTAATTATTTATGCGGTGAGCGTTTAACTAAGATAGACGATAATTTATTTTGATAATTTATGGATAACCCAAAATCTAAAATCAGTCAATAAACGCGTATTGAACATTGCCATCATAAGTACCCATTATTTGCGTCAACGCTCTTGATCTCCAAATTTTTAAATAATACCTAGATACCATTATTTCATTCCCGATCTTCTAATAATTAACTAATAATTACACATGTTTCCCAAGTATATAGGGCCCTGACTTAAGAACTCACTACTTATCCCATGTGTAACTAAATAACGGACATAGTTTTTCACGAACTACTTCTTGAGAGTCTATTATAATGTCTCATCATTTTTGTATAGGAATTTAAGATAGGTACATAAAACTTATGCAATAAGTACACCAGTAATTTAAAAACATTTTTTTTTTCTTCATACATTATAAAAATACAAGAAAGATCAGTGTTACTGCTTAAATGGATCATCCCGTACACTATGAATATTAGGATTTTTAATTATGTTTTATTTCTTACCTAATATTATGAAGSTTCGAGGCAAAAAGGATGCACGTGTACAGGTCAGCGCTGTCAGCATGCGTCATGAAAGATTTACCAAATGTCGAATATTACATGCCTCTGGACCGGGATAGACTGGAAGAAGGCCGAAAAAACATAGTGAGGAACAACCGACCGAACAATAACTCAGAACAAGTCGAAAACGAATCCGTCAACACGGTCGCCACTCAAGTGGACATTAACCGAGCCGTCGACGACAACGACGTGATATTACTCAACCGATAGATTGCTAGCATCAAATATGACTGTACTATGTTCAAAATTTTTTCGTGTAATCGTGCAGATTGACGAAGTATCAAATATATTTTAAAAGTTTAATACAGTTTATTTAAAGATTGACCAAATAATGAAAACGTGGACGATTTCTGAGATAAATATTTATGCTTATATCAATATTTTTATAGGTGCCAACATTTAGGTAGAAATAATAATATTTGCACTAAACAATTCATAACTTATAGTAAGTTATATCATTGTTATTATGAAAATGTACGTATTTTGTTTTGAAATAATCATCCATATTTTAAATAAAAAATAGTAAATCAGCTCAATAATAATTCATATTATGCCTATTATGGTAATTTTATGCGAACACCTAGGTACACAGAATACTTTTGATGCTAAAGCTTCCTTACCCTATAAAAAAGAAAGAAAGAAAGCTTACCCACTAACAACATCATATATCAAAGTTTATAGGTTATCATTCATGGGTCTCCATTTTCTATAACAGAGTGGACAATATAGATATTATATGTACCTAATAATATTATGTCTAGCGCATAAATGTCTGTAGCTCATCCCATCCTAAATTTTTACTTATATCATAAAGATAATTATAAATTAGGCTTTCAAACTTATTATACTCGCATGGTTTTGTTTTTTTTAATAGCTGGGTTTACTAAAATTTAATTTGGATATAATAGGAGTTAATGAATCTAAATCAAACAATTTTTACACGAATTTTTGCATACTTCAAGGAATTTGTTCGTTATAAATTGTAGTCTATAGTTGATGCTTTGTCCTTATAAGTTGAATACTAAAATGAAAATTCCTTTATTAAATTATTAATATTCCTACTACAATTAGATGAATAGTTTACGTTATTCAGTGCTATACGATTTGTGCAACTCATCTCCGCGGCAATCTGTATAACGTCATGTTAAAGGGATTGGAAGTGGTGATTTACGTGGGACATACAATACGCCTGACAAAAATTAAGGTACTTCTAGTTGTTCGATTTAAAATATGCAAAGATGAGTTAATTGGTATACAAGTTTATTTTGCATCGGTCGAAGCAATTTTTCGATTGTAGCAATATTTTGATAAAAATAAGCATTTTAAATTTTATAAATTTGTCAATTTTTTTAATTAAATATATTAAAAATATGCTTCGACTGATGCAAAGTAAACCTGTATACCGATTCAAAAATCTTTACATATTTTAAATCGAGCAACTAGAAGTACTTTCATTTTTATCAGGCGTATTGTATGTTCCACGTGTGTTAGACAAAGACAGAAAATCGCCGCTTCCAATCCCCTTAACTTATTTTATCATTCTAAGAATCGTATGGCGTTAATATTGAATTGATATAATAAATTATACAAAATGGAAATAATTTAAATTACATACATAAATATAAAACAAAAAAGTATGAATAAACAATTTTTTTAAATGCATTTGGTTTATATTTTGTAATGTCTTGGAGCATATCTTACATCCACATGGATATTTATGTACAGTGATAGAGCTATTATTATAAGCCTCTAACCCTAGTAATAATTATAGGTATGGTATTGTATAGCTAGGTTTTACTGTACTATATATGTCTATATGTATATAGAATAATTTTGCAGGTAATAGAAAAGAAGCGGTACAGCCGGTTTTTTTAAAATCATAAAATTTTCTAAATAATTTATTATAATACATACCTAGTTTATCTAACGAATTCTAAAAATTATTTTTAACTTGAACTCTAACAATTATTTTTTTACCTACCTATACCTAGTAACTATTTAAATAGAAAGTTGGGTTCCTCGACTCCTCGTGCCTATTGACATTTACTAAATGAAAATTTCTGGATTTTTCATTTTTTTTTTTAAAGATTTTTGGTTATTTGATTAATAAAAAATAATGTTGTACAAAATATTAAAATAAATAAAAACAGTTATCTACTCATTACTTTCGCATTGTCGCTAATATGCATTCTTTAATTTAAATTGTTAAAACAAATAGTTGTTATAACATAGCCCAGGGGAGATCAACAAATCAAGAACCTCGAGCCACACGAATAAATACAATGATATCAAGAGCCAAAATGTTTATAAATATATCTTATAATTTTATCGTACGAAAAAAAAATAAAAGCTCATCAGTATATTTATAATTTATTTTTCATTTCCAAATTTATTCGATTATATGACATGCCTTGCATCTATCATACTAATTAGTAATTATTATATTATAATGTAGTGTCAAAAGTGTAATATAATACATTATTTTGTTTAGTCTAACGTTTTGACCGTGATGGTCATCGCTCATCTTTTGGAGATAGTTGACCATATAGCGACTAAAGTGATTCAATGTACCTACCTATAAGTGGTAATTTGAGTTAAAACATTAGACTAAACAAAACGCGCACATCGCCAAGTCATGTAGGATATCGGTATCCATGGATACTGAAATCCAATACACCATTAGACATGTTATTTTTACTACAATATAAAGTATAATTTATAATATATAATATTATATTATAAACCTTAGTTTTTACTATACCTAATATATTATTGTTCTACAAACTATAAACTAATCGCCTAATAAACTATAAGGCGTTTAAATTGTGAAATGTATAGACGTATATAGTAATAGTAATATTAGTATTACTATATACGTAATAAATTGGTTCAAACCTTTTTTCGTTAAAAGTTTTACATTTGAATATATTGAGAATGAGAAATGATATGATATTTAAAATCAAATAATAAGCAGCAACATCAACCAATACCAATGCATTTTTATTTAATTAGTATGGTGTTTAATTTTACTCCGAAACACAATGATTCAATGATCCACCGTATTTAAAGTAGATGTAATGAGAAATAAATTGTCAACTTTATATAATAAGTGTCCTTGAGTTTAAAATTATTGACACAAAAATGATCAATATTTGTCTAAAAACTGATGCTTGTTGACATTTAAAAAAATAGATGAAATATTTAGGTATGTCCGATTTCTAACCCATGATCATTATTCATTAATCATCTTTACTGTTCTTACTCATTTAAAATTATTTTTTGATAAATAAATTCATATAGTATCATCAAAATGATCAATCCAATTAATAAATCTTMAAGTTTCTTTGATAGTGATAGTAATACCTATAATATATATCTATACGAAATAGGATACATTTTATATCATTCACATATTTATTAATTTCACGTAAGCAAAAAATATTATTAAAAGACTCACTGTCAATAAATCTTTAAAAAAATAGTTTTACTCGTGTTTAAAAAAAAAATATATTTGTATTGCTTATTATTTTCATTGGCTGTTATTATATGTTTGTGTACCCAATTTAATACATATATTAGCTACGAGAATAAGGTCAAGATAAGGTTTACCACGTGTAAAATTTAGTAATATATTAAAATAATATTAAATGCTATGGAAATGAGAATAAAAAATTTCTTGTCTTAACTGTGTATTCAAGTTTTTACATCTAAACCTCAATTATTATCGAGAAAAAAACATTAGCATTATAATAACATTAACTAACTCGTAATAAAATACTACAAAATATAATATAAACCAATGGCATTAATAATTATTTATACATGCTCATACTAGTCATAMTTGATGTTGATGTATTCGATAAAACACAAAAATGAATATCTATACGGCGAGGCGATCGCGACCGGTGGTTAATGTACCTAATGTCTAAACAATAATACGAGATGCATATATTATCTATTAATGCTCAATACATGTTTAAACTATATTATTATACTATGTATATAACATATTATGTTCAAACATTTATACCTAGCATTAGACAGTATTGCCGTCGGGTGTATCTCATTTATTCGACTTGAACAATTATTTGTGTTGATGTAATGGTGTCTAAATAAGTTAATCCTAATCAAAATCATTGTTTATCTAGTACCTATAATTATATATTGAAATAATGGTTATAACGTATACTCTTTAAGATTCTGAACGAAGTAATGAATGTATTGATTTTACAATGATGTGTGGTTTTTTTTTTTGTGTCTGTGTACAGCATAACTATAGTCGAAATAATGCTTCAATTTAAAACTTTAGGGGTGGTTAAAACTCGAAGCATCATTATAGGAAAAATTTTAAGTGCGTTTGAATTTTAAATTTTTACGAAATAGCGTAACGATAACGATTTATCTTCAAATATTTGTTATTATTTAAAAAGTATAAGTCGTAGATACTTGAAAATTCTACCAGTTATTAAGATTGGCATTTTCTTTACATGATTTAATTTTCAAAATATTTTGACTTTTTTTGAGATATTAATAGACAACTGAAATTTTTTATTTTTCGGAAAATTTTTTTTTTTTGAAATGTCGATAAAATTTTATGGCCCTATCAAAATACTTGAAAATTTAATACAAAGTTTCTCATAAGTTATTATTATAGTGATTAAAAAATTATAAGAATACATAGGCACAATTTTTTTTTATTAGCATTTGAAGTTCAAATATTGACAAAAATTCGTCAAAACCATGAATATTTTTTTTTTGTGTCTGTCATCACGTTTTGGGGCAGTAAAAATGATTGGATTTTTGACTTCAGTACCTTATTCGATCAGAAAGTGAATCTAGTTGGTACTTTGGGGGTCAAAAGTAATATTTTTCTAAATAATCGGGATAAACAAACTAAAAATTAAGGGGAAAACGAGAAATTGTACGCACAATCAGTTTTCGACAAAATCGATTTTGATTTTTGATGTAACTTTAAAAAAAATGACCATTGATACATGAAGTTTTCATAAAATGTTTATATAAGTGAATTCTATCAACCATGAAATTTTCAAACTTTTTTGACTTATGTTGAACTATTCATAGGTATATGAAATTTTCGATCATTATTAGTTTTTTTAAAATTAATATCGATAAAAATTTATTTTTTGGGTAGAAAATCTTGAAAATTGAATATATGGCTCTTAACATATTGTTACAATAGCAKTTGAAAA